AGTACTAGTATGGTCGAATGATCGGAACAGCAGAGTATGAGTATGGTCGAATGACCGAAAGGAGTAAAGTATGAATATGGTCGAATGACCGGAATAAGTAGAGTACTAGTATGGTCGAATGACCAGAACAGCAAAGTATGAGTATGGTTGAATGACAGAAATGAGTAGAGTATGGGGTGTCTAATGAGTGTAAAATGCAGCCAAAAGGCTAGATGAAAGTAATGATTGAAAGATCCGAGCCATGAAACATATGCAAGATAAGGTAGAATGAAGAGAGATTAAGAAACTTCCCTGAACATATTGGATACCCATATTTGGCGAGAGTCCATTGTTCTTCATGTTGCACATTTATCAATAGGCTTAATGACATGCTTTGCATAAAGTTCAGTGACTTAAGAGCATCTCTAGCTCACTGGGGAAAATTCTCGAATCATTGCAAAAGAGGATAAGCACCATAACCATTGAATCAAGCTTTCTTTCTTTTTTTTCTTTTTTTGATTTGTCAAGAGATTTCAACAATTATATTAACTGAAATGAAGCATCATAATCAATTAGCATCCCAATCTAAACAAGGAAAAGAAGGCTAGGGCATGGATAATATGTATGGATAGAAAGAGATAAACATGATTTTTGAATTGCACAACTTTTGATGCAACAATCTTAACAAAGCTAGAAGGCATTCAGGCTATAAAGTATTTGCTTCAAGAATTTATTTCTTTGTAACTCCACCAATCCAGTTTTTAACATATGAGACAATGTCTACTTCCATGCCAAGGTAGACAAATCCAATCTATCTCCTTCCCATGAACTAACCTTCAATGGTTAGAAGACCAATCATTAACCACCGAGCTAACTGACTTAGACTCGCTAGAGAAAGGATCTTCTTCTTTTTTCTTTTTTTTTTTGGCAAATGTTCCTTGACAAAGAAAGTTTCAAACCCTCAAATAAGGACTTTATATAGGCTTGTAATATGGCTTGGGGTTAGTCTATTATGAAAGAAAGGATAAAGGCTCAAAATCAATTTCTTCATATATTCCCCTCACGTTTCTCTCTTCACAACCTCGGTCATTAATGTGGGTTAACAAGAAGAAAATCATCTTGGCTTTTCTGAATTTGGATGATTGCCTTTTTCTAGCTCAAAAAAGGTAAGCAAAGGACAATGTTAACTATTTGGGATAAAGAAGCAATGCCTTTCATCATTGGATCTTCAACTTTCCAAGTCAAGGAAACATTTAGCTTATTAGGTCACCTTTTTCTTCCCTTTCTCTTTTTTTTTTTTTTTGTTTTTTTTTTATAGAAATTCATGATCAAACTAAAAGCTGTTATGTGGCTTTGGGTTAAATTATCAAAAAGAAGGATATGACGGGTCAAAATCTTGTTCCCTAGGATTTTCCCTCCACAATCACTCTTCACTCCCCAGGTTCATGATGAAGGTAAATTCACAAGAAAATCATCTTGGCTCTTATAATTTGGATGATTACCTTTTCTTTAGGCTCAAAGGGGTAAAGTGTTTAGGATAAACAGACATGGCCTTTCATCATTGAAACTATTAGCTCTTGAATTTGATCATGATTTGTTATTCCTAGTCTAATGATTGCCATCATTTTGATATCTAAAGCCTTAAAACCCTCAAAAAGGACTTTTCCTTGGGTCGTAATGGGGTTTGGTTAAGGTTTTGTGAAAAGAATGGGAATTCAAGGCTCAAAATTTCCCAACATGCCCCCCAAGTTACATGCCTTAGCTAGGAGCCTTCCATTTCAACCCTTGCCATGTGACATTTGTATTGTCATTTCTCCTTTTTCTTCTTTTTCTTTTCTCTTTTCTTTTTTGTTGAGCTTTTGCTCTCTTTGAACTTTGCTCCTCTTTTGAGATGGCTTTTAGCAATATGATCTTGCCCCCAATTAGGCATGTAACTATATTCCCTGGTTTTGGGATAGGTATGAAAGAAAAGGCTCACTTTTTCTTTTTAGGCTCAACTTGGTTTACGAAAGGATGACACTTTTGGGTAAAGTGTTTGGGAATTAGGCTCATGAAAGATGGCCTTTGATCCTTGAGCTTTTCACTTTAGACCTCAAAATGATGACAATCATTCAACCTAAGTTAGCAAGATTTCCTTATTCTCTCCTTTCTCTCTCTATCTCCTTTTTTTTTTTTTTTTCTTTTTTTTTCAAATCTTTGCTCACCATTTTCTTCTTGTATGAGTGTATCACATTTGACTGCAACTTTGGCCTTTGATTTTGCAACATATCAATTAGTTCGTGGGAAAAATCAAGATCACCATCATCTTCCTTGACATGGATTTGGATCATTTGAACCATATACCAATCCTGAAATGGCATCATTGTATTCAGATTCATCATTAGCAAAGCCTAAAAGCAAAAAGAAACATGGATAAACAACAGCATGTGAGGAAAGCATATATATGCAAGTAAATTTTTTTTTTGAACATATTAATGGCATCAAATGATGTCTCAATGGTGAATGATGGTTTGGACAATGATTAACAAGAAGAGTTGCATCAAGTTTAATGGATGGTGATATGGCAACATGTGAGACTGAATTGTAAAGATTGGAAAACTAATTAGCATGATAGCAAATATTTCAGAGAATATAAAAGAGCTTGTTATTCCCTCCTTTCATGTAGCCACAAGCTAAGCTACTAGAAAGCTAACTTATTCTACTCATGGATGAATGAAGCAGAGAAAAGCTTGACTGTCCAATTGGCCAAAGTGCCCCCAAGGCAGAAGTAATGGTTATGTCAAATAGGAGTTCATCCCTAGGAGTAACAATACTCAAATTTCCCCATGTCCTAGATTTGCCATCTCATTCATTGAATCTAGATCCACATGTCTTGTGTGTAAGTCCACTTCAACATCATTTCTTGGTGAGCTTATAAAAGCATGTTGAGGCCGCCTTCTAGATGGATGATGCATTGCTCCAAAGAGAGAGAAAACATAGGGAGACTA